ACAAGTGTGGAAGTTGAGAATGGTGGTTTCACAGTTACAGAATCACAGACTGGTTTGGGTTGGAAGGGACCTTAAAGCTCCTCCAGTTCCAACCCCCTTTCACGGGCAGGGAAACCTTCCACTGGAGCAGGTTGCTCCCTTTCTGGTGGGGCAGAAGTCAGAGGTGCTGGGTAACAGGAAGGTAATACAGCCATATGTGAAAGTGGAGTGCTGAATGTTACACTTTCAGCTTGGATCACGTATGGACACATTGCGTGTATTGGGATGATGGTCTCAAATGAGGAATGAAGTGTTTAAACAGTTCAGGCTCCCTTGCTCTGTGGCATGTCCAAGGTTGTGGTAGAGTTGAAGCAAATCTGCTGATCCTTAGGGAGCACATCTACTGTCCCTCATGTGGGCTGACCTCTTGAGGGTTGTATTGTGAAGTGTATGAAGGAGCCCTTTTCTCTCAGATCTGACTTAAAACCTTTAAGCTTAGCCTTTTCTGGGACTAGAAACTTGTACTTTTGAAACTATTGTTTGTGTTCTAACGTAAAACAGCACAAGAAGCCAGGGGCTCTGGTTGTTGCCCTGCTGCAACCTCTGAGCTTGTCAGGAACTCTTTCAGTCCCTGTCCATTCAATTTTTGGACATGATTTAGTATTTTAAGTGAACTACTTTCTGTGTGCTGGGAGTTGGAGGGACGTATGTAGATTGTACATGCAATTATCCCCTTTTTGTTTTTCCCATCATGCTAAGCGAATGTGTTTTAGTTAAGCAAGGTAACAGTGCTTGGCTGCTCGGAATGCCCCAGCTCTGGCAGTGCTGTCACACTGAATGCTGTGTCTGGATGTTCCTTGTGTTCATCAGCTGCAGCAGAGGGAACCAGAGGATGAGTAAGTCCATAGTGGTGAGCTGTACCATGTGTAGGTGTTCTGTGAGCTCTGCCTCTGTGGAGCCGATTGGCAGCACTGACACCCAGTGCAGTGGGTACTGCTTGTAATTGCAGTTTTCAGGGGCTGCTATGTGTGCTGTGCTTGTGTATGAGATCATTAGAGAATCACAGAATGGTTTGGGTTGGAAATGGCCTTAAGATGATCCAGTTCCAATCCCCTGCCACGGGCAGGTACACCTTCCAGTAGAGCAGGTTGCTCCAAGCCCCTGTGTCCAATCCGGCTGCGAACACTGCCAGGGATGGGGCAGCCACAGCTTCTCTGGGCACCCTGTGCCAGATCAGCACCCTCACAGGGAAGAACTTCTGCCTTATATCTAACTTAAATCTCCCCTGTTTCAGTGTGAACCCATTCCCCTTTGTCCTATAACTATAGTCCCTGATGCTACTAGCAGCCTTTCATCAGAGTGCAGGAGCTGCCACTTGGCTTGACCCTTACCAGGGCCCAGCATCCATTGACTTGCAGACCAGGATGGAGCTGATTGGGCCAGTACTAGAGACCTAATTATTGTGTGCTTGAAGCATGTAGCTTGTCCTCCAGTAGTATGTGTAGTGCTGCTACATTTCTGTGATAGCTTTTTGGCAACGCAGGAGTGATTATTTCTTTATGCTATGCCAATGCTTTCAAGCAAGCTGCATACTGAAGTGTCTACAGACTCCTGTTCAGTCTGCACACACTGAATGAGGTAGAAAACTAGTGGGTGTAAGTTGGATGTGATTTTGCTCAGTAAAGCCCCTGTGACCTCTCCTTTGCCACTGAAGGCCATGGCTCTCCTCGTTTGCAGGAGTTGCAGCCACCAACAGAACTGCTTGGTCATCATCTTGCTGCTCACAGCAGCAGAAAGGCTCTAGAGTTATTCTCTATCCTGATCTCAAGTGGAAGATTGGAAGCCTAAAGGAAGGACACTGGGAGCTTTGGCCAGTTAAAGCTGAATTTCCTTGTACCCTGAGCAGCTCTTGCTGGGGAGAGCATGGCAGAAGACCTGGGCATGTGGGAAGTGCAGGAAAACTCTGCTCAAAGCAGTTAAAACTGAACTCTTGTGCCACCTTGCTCTGTAAAGCCAGGGTAACAAAACATCTTGAAGGGCGCTCAGCGCTTCATCTCTATGTGGAGGAGCTCCAGGCTTGGAAGCCACCTCGTCAAGAAGGGAAGCCCCATGGTATATTGGATAGAAGGCAGGCTGTTCTCTTTGAATACCCTTGGAACAGTTGTGCTCACCCCTGCAGCACTGGGGAAGCCTATCTCCATCTCCCACAGTAAGAGAAGGCTTTCATCTCCCTCACTGATTGTTTCCTTCCATCCCTTGGCTCCTTTGTGTAGACTTAGAGCAAGTCTGTGATCAGAGTTGGAATCTTTATTGCTTTGGGGTTTGGCAGAAGCTGTTTCCTACAGGGAATGCCCAGAGACAAGAAGTGCATTGAGGGCACCTGATGGAAGGTTCAAAGCAGGACAGAACCTACTGTCTGGCTTTCTGGGTGTGTGGAGACCAAACCCTGCATGAGTAACAGCTATGGGAGGCTTTGGGATTCCTGCAGCCGTGTCCTGCCCTCACCTGGAAGTGTGTGTGTGACTAGACCTCTGCTAACACTGCCTGTTACTGCTGTAATGTGTTGCAGTTGGATCACCATTAAATAATTCCCTTAAACTTACTGTGGCTTGAGTGCTTTGGTTTTTTGGTTTTTTTTTTTTTTGTTGTTGTTTTTGGTTTTTATTTTTGCTTTTACCTCCTCCTTTTATCCATGACTTCTTTTGCTCACTGTGTGTTCTTCCCTCTTGTGGCTACTTCCTTCTCCTGTGATCAGGTTCTGTGCTGTGCTCTGCTCAGCCGTCTCCAGTTGTCCTCATCTTGGTTCTTTAGCTTGCTTCAAAGCTCTTGCCAAGCCCAGTGCTGTGCTGTTCTTGTTGGATGCTGTGGTTTAACAGCAAGCTTACTGATGCCCTAATTCCATGGCAAGCTGCTGCCAGCACCTGTGTCCTTGAGTCCATGGGCTTACCGTGGCCTCTGTAAAGCTGGGATCAGCTCTGGTGCAAGAGCACAAGGTGTGTGTGGCATCAGAGGAAGCCTGAGTCCTTGACTGTTCAGTGGCTCTCATACAGCTTGTGACTTAACCTTGTGACTTGCTCTGCCTCTGATTTAGCATCCACAGGTTGGATTTTGTTGTGTTTCTGCCTCTCAGCATTCCCCCGTTGGCTCCTTGTGTGAGAATCTTTAGATTTCATTGTCTTAGAGTCGGGCCTCGAAGCTCCTTGGGGTGAGTGGCGCTTGGGGAGGTCTGTGTGTTGCCAGCTCGAGGTGGGCTTGGGTAGTTCTGCAGAGCATCATGTGTGTCCTTCACACCTTGCTTGGGAGCAGTCCCAGGGACTTCATGTCCTGCTGGGAGTCGTGTTGAACAGATGAACAACTCCCTGTCACCAGAGCTTTGAGGAGAACATCCCTCTGCCTTATGGCTGAACCTTGCCTGTTG